TCGTCTTTTTTAAATGGCTTGCATGTGTAGTTCACAGGACAATCTTGGGTGTCAGTCCTTGCCTGCTCTCTTGTTTGAAACAAGGTCTCATAAGCTTTGAATACCCAGAATATCTGTTTCAAAATCTTCTTGGCATCCTCCTATCTCTGCCTCCTGTCTCACTGTAGTACCATTAAGCTTACAGATGTGCATACTACATCTGGCTTTACATGTGTTCTGGAAATTTGAAAGCAGGTCCTCATACTTGGATGGCAATTGCTTTGCAATGAATGTAGGGCCAACATTTAATTTTCACTATATTGCTTTCTACTGGAGCATTGCATTCTACCAGAGTGTTATGAAATCTTATATATCTGTTCAACTAGAGGCTCCCAAATCCAAGAGAGCCATAACAGGAAATTTAATAAAAATATAAAGAGAAATAAGAAAAAAAGGTGAAAGAGAATAATATAATTCACTGTGGATGTTTCAAATATCTTTAGTGTTATTTAATCCTTCTCTTTCCCCTATATCTTTAGTGTGCCCTCTCCGCTGCTAATTAACTCCTCTGCTTTTACCATTTTACTGTGGGGATCCTCTTTCCCTCTTGGCCTATCCCTGGCCATTATTCCCAGAGGAGCAAGAGGCAGAAGGGGCAAAAGAAAGCTTTGTAATACCCATGAACACGAATGGAGACAGCCCACCAGGAAACAGACTTCAGCGAATCAGATCAATTTTATTCCAAAATATAAGGAATATATAGAATTGGGAAGCCTGGGGACAAACCCTAATTTTCATTAAGTGACACGCTCCTCTCACAAGGCTTTGTCTATGGCATAGGTTCCTAGAGCTGAGCTTCTAGCACAAGTCTTCTTAGCAGGGATCTGTGTCAAGGGTCAAGCTAAAGATGAATTGAGCAACTGGTTTAGAGACAGCTTTTAGATAAGGTCAGTCCTCCAGGCCCAAGGACATTCTCCAGATAAGGGCTGGTAGAAACAGGGAGTTCTGCTGGAGGGAGGGGACTCCATGCTACTAAGCAATGGAGATAAGTTGCCAGGCCATGGGGAGGCAGTGACCTGTACCAGCCAGCAATGTCATCCAATATTTTCTTCTTCATAGTACCTGTATCCTGTTATCCCATTGCTAGCATCATCATCATCATCATCATCATCATCATCATCATCATCTTCATCATCATCTATGCCCCGGAAAAGCTTATGCTTGCATGGGCAACCCATTTATGTCAGTTCTCCAGTGGTTCCTGTCCTGGGCAGTCCTAGACGCTTGTGTTATTGTCACACCCAAGGTTCCAGTCATCCTTTATGCTGTCTATCCAGTGTTTTTTTTTTGGGGGGGGCTTACTCTTTATCTTATCCCACGCACTCCTCCAAGCAGTGCTATCTTCATGTATCTGCCATCATTCATTCTCATAATTTGCCCAAAGTATCTCAAGCAACATTGCCATATCCTGTAGTTTACTTCATTCTGCAGATGAAGATGTTTCTTATTGACATCATTGTGCAGCCTATCTCTTTGTTTGATGACTAGAATTCTCCTGAGAATGGCATTTCAGACACATTCAGCCACTGTTCTGAGGAACAGCGTTTGGTTGTCCAGATTTTGGAGTTGTAAAGAAGGCATCTCAAGACAAGAGTCTCATATATGTGTAATTTTGTTGTCTTTATGTCTCTTGCTTACCAAACCTTTCCAAGTACCTGGAATGTAGCCTTTGTTATCCCTATCCACCTCTTGACATTTGAAATAGTTCCTTCCTTTGGGCTGAGGTCTCTTGGTAGCTGCCTCCTCAATGGTGAGACTGGAAATGACCTCCTAAGTTGTCTGGAAATCTGGGGAATTTAGTATGTGAATGGAAAGAGATCCAGTTGGTCAGCTACGGGCTACCACATGAAAAAGAAGAGACCTGGTCAGTCATTCTCATCAATTCAGGCCATGAAAACAAACCCAATATGGACAAGAATCCCATTGCTAAATGCACTCGAATATTCATCTTTTTATTCATAGGTAAGTGTAACTCTCATTCCTCATCTTTGATCTTTTTACAAGAGACAGAGATCATTGCAGAGAGCCACTACTGGTCAAAATGCAGAGAATAGTTGTTTGGGAGGTCCTCAGCCATATTTGATACATCTATAACACCACACGCACACCCAAGATACAGGGATCATGGCAGAAGACAGGATGGACAGATTCTTAGAGACTCAGGAAGTCTGCCATCATGGATCTTCTAGATGTAACTGGGAAGTTACAACCAAGGAATTTGGACGATATGGCTGCTGAACGAGACTGAACAATGGCAACAGCAGTACACTCGTCAATGTGGAGAGAGGATATTTCATGGGGTCCCTAGATAAAGAGCTACAGGCAAATTGTGACTGCGGAGAAGAGATTTAATCTTCCCTAGAATGAGCCCTTAAGTGGTTAACTACTATCATGTTGTCAAGCATAAAAATACACATACAAGCAACAATAAACAGGCTTGGTGGGTTATATTTATATAATCATTCACACACACAAATAACAATAATAAAGAAAATAAGGCCATGAATTTGAGATGGAATAGGAGAGCATGGGAGATATTAGAGGGAGGAAAGGGAAAAGGGAAAATGATGTGATTATATTTTAATTAAATAAATGAAAATTTATAAATGCTATATGCAATAAAATATAGCTCTATATGAATGTATTAATCATTTTAATATTGTAACATTGAAATATATCCATCTGTTTGAAAGTGATGGGTAACTAATTCCTAGCAGTATTTTCTTGGCAATATGGTGTTCTTTCTTTGAATATTATTTCAATCAATCAGTTCACACTTATTCCTACTGTTTAACAGTAAATTGTTTCTTGCAAATTATTTCAGTCTAATGTTTGTAAATTGGACTGTCAGTAATTTCTTACTGACACAAGATATAAATTAAAAATTTTAAAACGTGATTTATCTTCCCTCAAAAACAATTTTTGGAACAGTAAAGTTTATCTTTATACCATATTAAGAAGTTAAATACATGAAAATATTTAAATTTTTAAGTGGTATTGTCATTAATCTACTTAAATATTTTAAGTAAAATAAGCATTATTATTATTATTATTATTTTTTGGTTTTTCGAGATAGGGTTTCTCTGTGGTTTTGGAGCCTGTCCTGGAACTAGCTCTGTAGACCAGGCTGGTCTTGAACTCACAGAAATCCGCCCGCCTCTGCCTCCCAAGTGCTGGGATTAAAGGCGTGCACCACCATCGCCCGGCAAGCATTAATTTTCTATATAAACTGCAAGGATATGTTTCATACATATTTTCATAAAATTATTTTGATATATTAGGTTTTGCCAAAAATTTCTATTCCTCAATAAAGCCATACATTACATCTTGAAAATGAATATATTGATGTGATTACAGAAAACCTGTGTTGTTACATATAGTACCAATTGAAAATTTGTCAGAGTTTAGAAATAAAAAAAAATTATTTCTACAGAATCAAATTCAATAGATGTCCATTGTTGAAATTTATTATAATCTTTACACAAGATTTTGTTGGAGAATTTTCATTGAGAAATACATATATATCAACAGCACCTAAGCTATAAAAATCCATTTAGAGAACCTTGAATATTATGCTAGATATTATTAGACATTTATAAAGTGCCTCAGGTTGACATTCAGGAGTTCAGATTTAATCATTTCACACAATAAAAGAATAACTCCTTGAAAATCTGATGCAATATAAGAAATTACTTTAAAAATTTGGTTTCCCTAATTCAAAAACTTCCTATTAAATCACACTTTCCAGTAGAAATGTTTATGAAGCAGTCAGTTGGTGTCAGTCAATTGCATGAGAAAATGATACAAGTTTTCAGGAAGCGAGTGTCACAGAATGAAGTCAGTGTGAGTGTTCTGTTCCACATGCATTCACATGTCCTACACTCTCACCGACACAAGCTGTGGATTAACAAGAACTCTAACTACATATATTAATAATTATTAAGTTAAGTGAATTTTGGTAAAAATTAGCAACTAGAGTCATTCAAATGATGTCCATTTTGATTTTCCGTTAGACAATAGAAGTTATGACAGATTGACAGACGATATTGGTTTAAATAGTAGGAAATATTAGTGTTTGTTTTCATAATTATTAATTAGAGGAGAATGTTAATATTACATAATGAGAAAATGACTTAAAATATTTTCTATTATTTATCTCTATGTTTTTTATTAGACTCCACAAAATCATGTAATGAAGTATAGAAAGTCTGAGCTTTAGGACCATATTTTAATAGAATATTTTAAGTAAGTGGATTTAGTCTGATGGATAATACTGACAATCTGATAGGATCTGGAGTCACCATGAGGACAAGCCCCTAGGATTTGCATTGAAAGGGGTGGAAGATTATAGCTTACAAGTAATGTATTTGCAAGTCAAACTGACAAGGAGTAATAACTGTAATGTTTAAGGCTGACTGTGGCCCTGACGGTATCCACCCAGGAGCCTGCCCTAAGGGTGTGCCAGTGAGGGTTGTGGATACTAGGGAAATGAAGTGTGTAGACCTAGCCTAACTTCTAGAGTGAGCAAAAAGGAGAGAAAATGTGAAGTAAACACCAGCATTCATCACCACTTTCTACTGAAGACCCCCAACATGACCAGTTCAAAAACTCCCCACTCCGACCTCCCCGTCATTAAGGACTGCACCCTCAACTAATCCTTTAATTGCTTTTTCAGATATTTTTGTTAAAGCAACAAAATAAGTGATCAGTTCATTTAGTGTCCTAAACTTTGTTCCTGCTGTTACATTGTAACAATCATATCTATTTTTCATAACTCAGAGACACATTCAATAATAAACAAAATATAGCATAAGAATCAAAGAAATACTTAATAGTAATTAGAGAGTGAATAGAATTTATTTTAGCTATTTTAAATGCCACTTAATAGTAGGGTGTTATGAACCAAGGACTACAACAGATAATTCAGTTTTAAGCCCTTTGGTATAACATTTGACACATGACAAAGTTGACTGTCTAATAATAGTCCTGAGCACTGGAAGGGTCGTGCCGCGATTTGCACTTACTTAGCAAGTACAAAGGTGATTCTCAAGCACTTTAAAACAACAACAGTACAGTCACACACAGTTGAGGAGTTGTTCATGTGGACAAGTGGTATCAAAGCCTACTGTACACCGCTCAAGTGCGCAGAACTCAATGTAAGAAGAAAAAGTATAAAAGAGGTTTAGATGATACTGCAGTAGGACACCGTGGTGGTCTTGGTTCAGGGAAATAGTCTGTGAACAGGACATGAAAATAAATAATAAAAAGAGAAAAATTGAGAACTTGATTACTTTAATGTTAAAATCCCCATTTATCAAAGGCTTCATTGCAAGTCTAAGAATGGCAAATGGAGAATGGGAGAGGATATTCAAAGTGTGTGACTGACAAAAGGTTTGTATCCAGGGCATATAAAACATGCTAGACTCCATGCCCAGCAGTAGATAGTAAGCAAAACATGAACTCAAAAATGATTTGAAGATTTAAAGATTTTTTTCTGTCCTATTGCTTTGATTGGACATTTTTAATGTAACTGGTATTTTGCTTATATATTATGACTTCCAATTTTTTATTGTTTTGTGGTGTGTGTGTGTGTGTTTGTGATTTTTAATAGTATTGTTTTAATTCTTTTTTAAAAATTTGCCTGTTTCATTTCTAAAGCAGGAGAAAAAAAGGCATGGGATTGCATGGACAGGGAGGTAGGTATGATCTGGGAGGAGATGTGGGAGGGGAAACCATGATCAGAATATATTGTGTGGAATTTCAGTAACATAATGCTTAGAAACCAATAACAAAAAAAAATCACAAAATTTTAAAAAGGGGAAATAAGTAGCTGGCCAATGTGCATATGAAAAGATTGATCATTGAGTTGAGTCAGTTCTTATGAGCTCAACATGAAGTCTTACTATGCAGGATTAATAAAGTAGTCAACCCTAGAAATGTTTGATGATACTATAAATTAACAGGACTTCTTAATGCCTGTAGAAAAATGAACTGGTAAAACTGCTATAGAAAATGCCTGGTGTCATCCTCCTGAATATTAACCTTCATCAGGCGATGAAAGGAGACAGAGACAGAGACCCACATTGGAGCACCGGACTGAAATCTCAAGGTCCAAATCAGAAGCAGAAGGAGAGAGAGCACAAGCAAGGAACTCAGGACCGCGAGGGGTGCACCCATACACTGAGACAATGGGGATGTTCTATCAGGAACTCACCAAGGCCAGCTGGCCTGGGTCTGAAAAAGCCTGGGTCAAAACTGGTCTCGCTGAACATAGCGGACAAGGAGGACTACTGAGACCTCAAGAACAATGGCAACGGGTTTTTGATTCTACTGGACCTATTGGTTTCGTGGGAGCCTAGGCAGTTTCGAGGATGCTCACCTTACTAGACCTGGATGGAGGTGGGTGGTCCTTGGACTTCCCACAGGGCAGAGAACCCTGATTGCTTTTTGGGCTGACGAGGGAGGGGGACTTGATTGGGGGAGGGGGAGGGAAAGGGGAGGCGGCGGTGGGGAAGAGACAGAAATCTTTAATAAATAAATAAATAAATTTAAAAAAAAGAAAAAAAAAGAAAATGCCTGGTGTGATCTACTGAAGTAGAAAATAGACAAAACCTCAGAAGACAGAATCTATTCCTAATCTATATATTAACTATGGAAATTATTCATACAGTGTGTGTATGCTAGGAAATAGGATCACAAATGTTAATAGCAACACATCAGGAGAAAATTACAATTCCATCAATAATAAAGTAGATTCATATGTTTTGATTCATTTGTACAATAAAATAAATTAGGTTGAAAACATGAATAGGCCTGATATATCACAGGATAAATAAAGCAATATTAAATATGAGAAACTAACCCTGAAAATTAAATCTCATATATAAATACTTAATTTACATAAAAATTTTAAAAAGCTGTTATTACTTTGTTTAAGAATACACTTTGACTTATATAAATAAATGAATTTGAGGAATAGAAAAGGGAAAATTAGAAATTTTTTGAACTCATGAATTGAATTTTCATGACCTAGACAGTTTAGTCTTCATGTCCTAAAACTGTGAAGCTACATGCATTTATGATATGTCTATACTTACCCATATATTAACTTAATCTCCTTAGAAAAACCAGACTCTGGAAGTAAGATTAATAAACAAAAATCATTAAAAATGTTATAAAGACTTTTAAAAATAAAAGCTAAACAAATAGCTCAGAGAAGATTGCTAGACCTGCAAAGATAAATTAGTGCCTTATGTAAATAGGACATTTAAAGCATATTTTACGCACCATATGCAATTGTAAATGACTTAACAAGTTGATTGTTGATGTCATGTCGAATCTCTGATTTGTGTCCTTACCAACATCTGTTAAAAATTATCATGCAAAGACCCCCAGCATCTATTCCCAAGTGCACACAGTAAAGTAATATGTCTCCTATTATGAGGAATGATGACTGAAAAGCAGAAAAGGGAAAAATGAACAGATGCAACCAGAAAGAGAAAAAGTTTATGATGCCAATATTATCTCAACTTATCAAAGCAAATGGGAAGTAATAAGAAATTGTCTTTTTGTAATTAAATAGCATTTGGTGGGAAAATGTTAGATCATAAATGTACAAAAGCTATGTGTGCAGAACTTATCATAGAAGGTAAAACATGGTCGCCAAGAGGGCATGCGCAAGAGAGAAATGCAATCTTTATTATGGCTTTATTTTTCTGTTTTGTTATTTTTAGTTTTCACAAAATAAGTAACATTTTATGTTTTTATTTAATGATTTATGTTCATATATCACATATCTAAGAGACAGAAATGTTGGCTGCTACATGAAGTATGTCTTTAGGAATGGGTGTTTGTAAATGCACACAATAGGAACTTTCACAGTTACACTGAATAAGGGTGAAAGGAGTAGCTTAGGGGTAGCAATAACAGCAAAGGCCAAAGTGAAAACAGTTCTTGATACCTGGGCTCTTGTATATCTCCTACCCTCCTCAGTTACTTATTTCAGGGGTTTTTTGTCCCCCATTACTCCGTAAGTTCCAATGGGTTCCACGGCTCCAGCCTTCGTTCTCTTGTTGGCTTGATAACCTCACCCTCTCTAGTGATTAAAATAAAATATACAGCATGAACTCCTCCTACACTGCCTATATCCATTTCTGTCACTTCAGTCACCTTCGGGACAGTTCCATCTAATGCTTCCGTTTTCCGTATATAAAGTGTAGTTTATAACTTTTCCACTGAGACAGAATTCTTTGTATGCTTGGGTTTGACAAACAACTTTACTATCCATGCATTAGCCCAAGTAGATCCTGGAAATTTTTGTTAGCTCCTTATTCTCGACCAGCAACATTCCCATCTTCTTCTCTAAATACCCATCATCATCATTATCATCATCATCAGGATGCTTTATTAGGCTACAAATAATTTGGTTCTCTGTAATGCTGCCAATGTTCTCCACTTAAAAGGCAAGCCTGAAAATATAACACAGTTGCCTTCTTAACATTCTCTGAAATTCTTTTCTCTGTCATTTAAGCAATGTTTAATACTTAACAGCATATAAAATCCTAGTTTTAAGAACTGGTTTTATACTTTATGCACATCTTTACCAGAATACAAATGTCCCAAGAACCAATCAGAAGCTTCAATCCTCAGCACATTGTCATGTATAATAAATATTTATAGAATGAATGTATTCTTTGCATAGTTGATGCTGTAGACCAATTATGCTTAAAAGTAGGAATTATTAACCTGTGATTCGTAGATAGAGTTCATGGATTTGTTTTCTCTGTTAACTGTGGCTAAAGTTAGCATTGTTTTTGAACCAGAAAATTTTACTCTAAACTGTAAACTTGACAGTATAAAATTCTAGATTTTTCACAAATTTAAACTATTAAAAATACTTGGAGTATTTAAGCCCATAAAATAATAACAATTGGTTCCTCGTAGTATAGCAGCTATTATCCACAGCTAGGCTCATCTTTCCTCATACATGAAGTCATGTAACTAAACAACAATTTTAAATGTTTTAGTATAAGTATCCAGCACAGCGTTTTCTTTCAGAACTCCTTTGTACTTGATTTTGTTCCTGAAATGGAAATGAACAAACAATAGTGCACCTTACCTTTCACTTGGCAGACACAGTGAACAAAGCAGCCGTTAGGAGATTTACTGTGATCCTTCTGTGGAGAAATAACTCTGGTGACTGCAAGAGATACTGAGGAAAACTCAGAAGTTTGTGGGAGTGGGTGTTGTAACTAAAGGAGAGAGGGAAAAGAAAGGGAGCATTCAAATTTAAAATGTAGCAGTAGAAATAGTAAGGAACTTAACTTAGTGATTAAACTAAGAGATAAGCCAAGGCATGAGTTAAAAGGAAAGTAAAATATAGAATTAATGCTAGAGAATAAGAATTTATGTGCTAAGAGTTCAAGAACACATTGGGCTATATGATAAAAACCTTCTATAAAAAACTTAAGCAAGACCAGTGCCTTATTGAGGCTGATCATATCCTCAGCCAGAAAAAGTAACAAAATTTGAATCACTTAGGAAGAATAGGGCAAAGACGATGAAATAATTTTTTAAAATATACATACCTAATATTAATATATCATCCTGTGAAATATTACCAATCCCACATGGATGTCAACTGTTTGTCAAAACCTGTTGTTTATCACATAGACTCTCTCTAAGTGGAACTATTAGAGAAACAAAATTTCAATGAATCTTAGATTGCTGGTTATTTGACTTTCATGATTATACATAGCCTACAGAATTACTTTCAAACTTTCTGCTCTTATCTTGGACAAATTTCAGATTTAGGCTAGTTTTAATAAGCATTTGTATATACCTGTTTACCATTGACCAATAACAGGGTACTCTTGAATCTATCCTTCTTGACACAGATAAAACAGAATAGTGCAGAGGAAACATATTTACACAACAAAACACAAATTCTTTAAAGAACCATGGTGAAAATATAGTAATTCATTAGAGAAGATACCATGCACAATTCTTTAAATATTTTTCATTTAATTCATTCAGGTGCACAGATTTCTGTGTTCATTGACTATAAAATGAATTGACAAGCAATGTCAAAGGAATGTAGGCAGAAGGAAGATTTTAATTAAATCAAAACAAAAATTATAATTCAATGTGACATGTGTTATAAATACTATATAGAAAAAGATTCTTGGTGTGTAATAGGAAGACCTAATCTGGTATGCATCCTTAATATTAATGGAATGACATTTTGGCTGAAATACGGTATCTCTGGGGATAGGCACAAAACAGAAGCAAGACAGCATAAACTAAAGATGTAAAAGAACTTGGTGCCATCCAAGACAGGGGTAGAGGCAAGTCAGGAATGGTGATCAGTGGACTAGGGTAAGCATGGGGAGGTGTCAAGGGGCAAAGCTGAAAGGCCACATAAAACTTGAATTATTGAGTTAATGAACATCCCAGAACCCTTACATAGCTTAGGTTTAATGAAGTAAAAACACATAATAATAACAAATAGTGAATGTTTCCTATTTCCAAATTATAAGTAGCCCATAGTGAATGTATTATTATTTGAATTCTAAAAATAGGTAGCCTAAAATCGTAATCTTAATTAGGAATAATGATGGAAAGCTAATATCAGATGACAGAAATACTTAACTCTGAAAAGATAGAGGCTTAGCCTGTTTTACAGGTACCCTTCTGCAATTCCAGCAGGCAGGTGGTGAGGGGTTTAAGAGTTTGAACTCCCCATGGGATACATAGTATTATCCTATATCAAAAATAATTTTATATGCCTCTCTTTTAAGAGAATCCCATACCTATATTCTCAAGTGTTTCTTACATTTTTAAGGTCTCTTTTTCTTAACCCACATGCTTAAGCCTATTCAAATATTTTTATTGAACCAAAACTCTAATTCAATACACACACTATATATATATATATATATATAATGTATGTATGTAAAAATGATATTTAATTTCCCAAAATAAACAAAATAACAAAAATAAAGAAAAGTAACATAGCATGAACCCCTGGCGTAATCTCATAGAATCACATACATCTTGTTTTTGTACCTCCAACTTTGTAAATTAGGGTTGAAAAGATGATATGCTTTCTTTATTCCTTCCATGCATCATGCTTAGACTCCTGTAACAACAGAGGCTTCAGAAATGTGATCTCAGAATTCAAAGACAGCTGATTTTCATTTTGGGTCTGAGGAGGGATGTGGGTATGGACTCAGTGTGCATGGATACAACGAACTAAGAGAAGTGAGATTCCCAGCAGTACCTGCTTCCTCATGCCTCTCATTTTAAATGAAGTTCCTTCCTTCTGGATATGGGGCAAGATTATGAGAATCTTTTGACTTATTTTCAGAAAAGTTATTTGGAAGAGTGACTTTCCTTTTCGAAAACCATACATAAATTTTACCAGATCATTTTACATATTCATCACAGTACAATGTATACATTCTGGTTTCTCTTCAGAACATACAGATCTTATACCTTTTATATAGTATAGTGGGACATTTTGATATTGGCATGTGATATTTAACAATCAGACACTCTCTTGCCTCCTCCTGCTTCCCTGACCTTTCCTCTACCTTATCCCCCCAAGCATTCTTCAGAGAGGGTGAGGCTTCCCATGGGGAGTCAACCAAGTCTGGCACATCACTTTGAGGCAGGACCAAGGCCCTCCCCTATATCTAGACTGAGCTAGATATCCCTCCAAAGACGATGAGTTCCAAAATGTCAGTTCCAGCATTCGGGATAAATCCTGGTTCCAGTGCCAGTGACCCCACAGATAGCCTAAGTCACTCAACTGTCACCGACATCACAGGGCCTAGTTTGGTCTGATGCAGGTTCCACCACTGTCAGTCCTGAGTCAGTGAGCTCCCACTAGCTCTGGTTGGATGCTTCCGTGTGTATCCCCTTCATAGTTTTGACCCATTTGCTCATATTATCACTCCTCCCTCTCTTCGATTAGACTCTGGAAGCTCAGCCTGAGGCTTAGCTGTGGATCTCTCCATCTGCTTCCATCAGTTGCTGAATGAAGGTTCTATGATGACAATTAAGGTAGTCATCAACCTGATTACAGGGCAAGGCCAGTTTGGGCACCCTCTACACTATTACTTAGGGTTTTAGCTGGGATCATTCCTGGGAATTTCTTTAGTGCCAGGCTTTTTGCTAGCCCCATACTGGCTCCGTCAATGAAGATATCTTTTCCCTTGCTCTCCCTCTCTGTCCTTGACCCATCTCTACTATCCCATTCTATCATATTCTTCTCCCCCCTCTTCTCCCATCTCCCCTTTCCACTCTTCCTTCTCCCCCTCCACATGCTTCCAATTTTTCAGGCTATCTTATCCATTTTCCCTTCTCATATATGGAAATTTATATATGTCTCTCTTAGGGTTTTTGTTAACCTAGCTTCTCTGGGGTAGTGGACTATAGGCTGGTTATCCATTACTTTGCTTTTAATATCCAACATGAGTGAGTACATATCTTGTTTGTCTTTCTAAGTGTGGGATACCTCACTCAGGATTTTTTTCTAATTCCATTCATTTGCCTGCAAATTTCAAGATACCATGTTTTTTGTTGTTGTTGTTGTTGTTTGTTTTACCACTGAGTACTAGTCCATTATGTAAATGTACCACATATTTTTTTTTTTATCCATTGTTTGGTTGAGGGGCATCTAAGTTGTTTCCAGGTTCTGGTTATTACAATAATGGTGCTTAAACACATTTGAGCAAATGTTCTTGTGGCATAAGTGTGCATCTTTTGAGTATATGCCCAAGAATTGTATTGCTGGTCTTGAGGTAGACTGAGTCCCAGTTTTCTAAGAAATTGCCATACTGTTTTCCATAGCAGCTGAACAAATTTTCACTCCCACCAGCAATTGAAGAACGATCCCCCCCCCTTACTTAGTATCCTCTCCAGCATAAGCTATTATTAGTGTTTTTTTTTTTTATCTTAACCATTCGGACTGGCATAAGATGGTATCTCAGAGTCATTTTGATTTGCATTTTCCTGATGGCTGAGGATGTTGAATAGTTCCTTAGGTATCTTTCAGCCATTTGAGATTCTTTCATTGAGAGTTCTTTGTTTAGATCGATTCTCCATTCTTAATTAGATTATCTTGTATTTTGATGTCTAGTTTCTTGAGTTCCTTACATATTTTGAAGATCAGTCTTCTGTCTAATGTGGGGTTGGTGAAGATCTTTTCCCATTCTGTAGGCTGCCATTTTGTCTTATTGACTGTGTTCTTTGCCTTACAGAACCTTCTCCGTTTCTGGAAATCCCATGTATTAATTGTCACTCTCAGTAACTGTGACTATATTTAGGAAGTGGTCTCCTGTGTTCAAGGCTACTTCCTACTTTCTCTTCTATAAGAAATAAATACAGTGTGGTTGGATTTATATTGAGGTCATTGATCCATTTGCGTTTGAGTTTTCTGCATGGGGATAGATAAGAATCTATTTGTATTTTTATACATGTTGATATCCATTTATGCCAGCACCATTTGTTGAAGATGATTTCTTTTTTTCCATTGTATAATTTTGGCTTCTTTGTCAAAAGCTGATGAAAATCAGAGAATCAGTAGGTCATACTTTGAAACTTGTACTCCACAAAATTGGAAAATCTCAAAGAAACTGACATTTTTCTGGATAGGTATCATATACAAAAATTAAATCAAGACCAGATAAACAATTTAAATAAATTTAAACCCCTAAGAAAATAAAAACACTCATTGTAATTCTCCTACCACCAAAAGCCCAGGGCCAGATGGTTTCATCACAGAAGTAAATCAGAACTTGAAGAAGAGCTAATACCTATACTCCCCAAATTGTTCCACATGATAGAAACAGAAGTAGCATCACCAAACTCTTTTTACAAGGCTACAGTTACCATGATAATGAAACCACACAAGGACTCAACTAAGAAAAAGAATTAGAGACCATTCTCCCTCATAAACATTGATGCAAAAATACTTGATAAAATACTGAAAAACTGAACCCAAGAGTACATTAAAAAATCCACCATGGTCAAATTGGTTTCATCCCAGAGATGCAGGGATGGTTCAACATTAGAAAATCTGTCAAGGTAATCTATTATATAAATACACTGAAAGAAAAAAAACTGTATGATCATCTCATTAGATGGTGAAAAAGCCTTTAACAAAATCTAACACCTCTTCATGATAAAGGTTTTAGAGAGATCAGTTATACAAAAATGTAGCTAAACATAATAAAATCAATATACATCAAGATAATAGCCAATAATAAATTAAGTGGAGAGAAACTCAAAGCAATT